TTCACTCACCACGCTGTTCAAACTGTAGCGGCACCCAACTTGACAACGCAGCTGGTCGCGAAGCCGTTCAAGAAACCGCAGAAACCAACAATCATAGCTCGCCTATCCGCAAGGACACATTTCGCGAGCGCACTTACCGTCCCGGAGACACCTAGTACTTCTGTTGTTGATGTTGATGTTGAAACTTCTTCAAGTGCACGACATTGTATTCCATAGCCCACTCCTCATCGCACACTGCATGGGGCAAGTTCGTGCGCCAGCAGCCTGTTCACTCCCGAACAGGGTGGAGGTCCTTCTTCCCTGGCTCTGAATTCTGTAGAGTTGCTCTTGCCTGTGCGAGACCATGTCAGTTTTAGAAATCAATGAGATTGGCCGGTCATGAACATTGGCATGCTAGGTCATGATTTCGCGAAGTCGGATTCTCTTGGACTGTCCGAAACCCATTCAAGAACATGTTGTTTCATATCTGCACTCTTATAGGACAAAAAGGCATTGCTTTGGGATGGTACAGCAGTGTATATACAGTACATACAGTCAACTGAGGAGGAGCACATCTATTTTTTGAATTATTGATTTATTGAATTTCGAACTCAACTTGAACACGCGCTGACAAGAATTTCGGGAATATCTGTAGCTCCGGGAGCCATTTCGCATTGCGAATTCGCATGTGAACTCGAGAAGGTCAAATTCGCAGTCGGATTTCGCTGCGAATTCGCACTTCTATTTCACAGCGAATTTGCAGTGAAATAGATGCGAAAAACCTGCAAATTCGCTGCGAAAATCAACTTGCCTGTACTATGTAGTAGTAATCGAGCATCGAGAGTCGATAAAAATATATATTGTCAACAAATTAATACGAAATCACGTGGTTCTACTTGTCGCACTCGTCAGCATCTGGTGCAATACTGACTTGCGAGTCTGAGGTACTACGGGTGACTCGTCCGGGTCTAGCCAACTCAAAGCATCATGTTTGTGCTAGAAATTGGGTGAATCCGATGGCAATACAGGGGAGACAAGGTACACGATCTGCAGGCTTTGTCGACGAAAGGTGAGTACTGAGTGTCAGGCGCCGGGTGCTGCAACCAGGTGGACCTGAGATACTGGTAACTTGTACGAGATATTGCTATGATACCGTTGATCAATCGATCATCGATATCAATCACCTATCAAAGCTATACCGCCAATTTCGCACTCCTCAAGCTATTTCGCACCTTGTGAAACGTCCCTCAGACACCACCTGCGAATTAGCCGCGAATTAGCTGCGAAATAGCAGTGCGAATTCGCAGGTGCGAAATTGACCGAGCTATTTCCCGAAACACTAGGCGCGGCGAAGGAGCGGAGGCCGTGCATGATACAATCAGTCTGCACGGACTCTTCAGTCAGAATCAGGGACTCGGATTCCTGTAAGTCAAATCAGCGTAGGTGGATATCGCATCTGTCTAACACACATGTACAGAAGGTCCTCAGTTCGAGTCTGGGATGACTTGTAAATGTATTCATTATGAATAAATTTTCTTTACACTCAGTTAACAGAACTATGTATGATAGATTCAGAATCCTAATTATGTACTCAGCCTGGCGGGTCAGGTTGGCTTAGGTGGTTATTGCATCTGCCCAACTGTGTGAAGGTTGTCAGTTCAATTCTGAGCTGACTTGTGATCACTGAGTGCAAGTGTTTTCTTCTTTTACATAAAATTCTGGTTGCTTATCATGGGGTGTTTGGCATCTACTAGCTGGTCAGCTGCTGGCGCCAATGGTTTGCCAGTCCTTGCTGGACAAAATTCGGGGGGTTTGATTTTGCATGATGGAAGAATTACTTTGGCGCCGATCCTGATTGTGACGTGATGGAGGGAACCAAAACCCACAGATCAAAATTAATTCTATTTATTATGAAAGCAATTCTCCTAGGCAGCAAAGCTAAACTACGGTATTAAGCGAGATCACGGTGGATGGGACCCCTATGTTGGTTCTACTTTCAACGGATGGTGCATTACTTTCTTGGATTATTACTATCTTGTATCTTGGTAATTGCATCACAACAGCATCACACATCATGATTGCAATTTTAGTTGGTGACTCGAGTTTTGACAATTACATCTTCGATCAACAACAATGATTTGACTTTGATCGATCGTCCACAACACATGAGTCATACAGTCTTTTATGGTTAGCCTTGGCCTCGCCGCTCCCGCGAGGCTTGTGCCCGTCTTTTGGTGTTTGGAGGAAGATTTTTATGGCCCCTCCATTGCGCGAGAAACACAATACAATCTGTCCATCAATTGCTGCTCGATTCTCATCTATTCACCTGTTCATTTCAGCTGCAGATACTAATATGGATACGGAGCTTATTGATGACGTACGCCACCACTATTCCCACATTTACGAGGTTGCCCGGGATTGTATCCGCCACCTGGGGACCTCCTCGGGCATCACTCCAGAGGAAATCCAAGCAATCCGCTCTCACTCGGAACATGCAAGGAGATTCTTGAGCTTATTGACTGGGGTATCATTTTTTCTCATATTTTTGACGAGCTTACACAAATATGTTGATGGATTACCCCTATCAAGTACACCACCCTCCTCGCACCGCAAGAGTATGAAGCCATATGGGCTAACACTCTTGATCTCATCAAAGTTTTGGAGTCCTACATTCAACCAAGTCCCCAGTCTGATGAATCCATCAATGCTGGTTTTTTGCTTCATGGAACAGATGAAAGTGTTCCTTTCAGCGTGCAGACCATTCGCCTAGCATTTCTGGAAGCAAGACACCGAGTTTCTCGAGAAATACGTGCTCAGATCGGTGATATTGCGCGACTTGAAGTACAGGTGGAGGCGGTAGAGAGCTTACTTCGAACTATGACACAGGTGCGTAAGTAGCATTTCTTAATTTTGTGGAGAATACTCACCGTGCTTCCTCATCTCTCAAGCATGAATCACTCTTTCATCCGTGGCCAGGAGAATATCAAGACATGCTTAACAGCCTTCACGATCTACTGCAGCAATTACGGGAGGCTTGCCAGCGTTCTCAGGATGCCATGGAAGCCTCACGTTCACAAGTCATGTTTCGCATACGTACTGGCCAGCGCGGTCGTCCCCGCCATGAGATAGATCCCGGGGTACTTGCGCAGGCCTATTCTCTTCGTCCTAGTCCTGCACATCTTGCTTCGACATTTCAGTCCTCCGCTCGCACTGTTCGTCGTCGTCTTCTGGATTATGGTCTTGCTGAGGCGGGACAACCTGTTTATATCACATATCAAGACCCAGAGACGGGCGCACATGTTCACGTTTACCATCCACAGAATGTTCAAACCAGTGAAATCTCCGATGAAGAGCTTGACGATGTGATCTCTCACATTCTCAAAATATTTCCCACATTTGGCCGTCAAATGATCACTGGTCACTTACAATGCCAAGATCTTCATATTCCTCGTGATCGGATTAGAGCTTCCTATGAACGTGTTACAGGTGCTCCTTCACAGCTTCTCCACCCGCCTATTCAATGCCGTACCTATCATGTTGCGGGTCCAAATTCACTCTGGCACCACAATGGACAACATCGTCAGTCTGAATATATAGTTTTAATATCCTCAGTGACTTACATTATTCACTTCAGGCCTAATCCGCTGGAGGGTCGTCATTCATGCTTTCATTGATGGATTCTCTCGTTTGGTGACCGGGATACGTGCCAGCGACAACAATAGGGCGGATACCGTCTTTCAAGTTTTTGAACAAGCAATTGCAGCTCACGGTACCCCTAGTCGCGTTCGTGGCGACCATGGCGTTGAAAACCTGCAAGTGGCAAATTACATGGAAACGAACTTTGGAGTTCCACGGGGATCTTACATCTGGGGACGGCATGTATTCTTTTTTTGCCAAGCTCAGTTCGTTTCATTCAACTGAACCATTTGTTTGCTAGAAGTGTTCACAACATCCGAATCGAGCGTCTTTGGAGAGATGTCACTAGCGGCCTCGGCAATAAATGGTGGAACTTCTTTACTCGACTGGAGCAAGCGCACGGTCTGAACCCTGACAACGATGCACATATATGGCTCCTACACCATCTGTTTCTTCCCGCCATTAATCAGGACGTGGCAGAATGGGCAGAGGCTTGGAACAACCATAATGTCGACCTGCGAAATGCACGTGAGCGCAGCCCTCGAGATGCTTTCTTTTTTACTGCCATTCAATTGGGTATCTTTGATCCACAAAATGGCATCGTCACTGCCGTTTCAATGGAAGAAGTTGATGATCTTGCTACTTATGGCATCGACTGGGAAGACCTCGCCGACGATGAGATACTGCGCCATCACATCCTGCACAATCCACAGGGTGAAGATGTGTACGATAATGAGGAAGAAGCTTCTGCCGCATTTGCACATACCAACCGCCCTCTTCATATGGCAAACGTTGAAGTTCCGGCATTTGACACTCCATTCACTATGCAAGAACAAGTCGATGCGTTCAATGAAGAGGTGAACGCCATTCAAGAACGTCTTTCCCGGGACATGGAAGATAGAAGAATGGTTTGGATCAGAGGGTTACACGTCCTGAATACTGTGCTCAGCGTACCTATGTAGATCAAAGCAGAGAAATATTTATACCTGAACGTAATATAATAATTTATGACGTCTACCCGTGACCGTCAGAACGATCACGTGCCCATCCAACGATCCGGAGGTGGATGCCTGCCTCTGGCCTCGCAGTAAAAACTAGGCAGTTCTGCGGAATATACCGAGTGCAGGATGTTATATATCCGACCCCGACACGTGTCCCCCTCCCGTCAGCTGTTGGACGAGCTCCTGGGCTGGCCCTCACTGACGATGGAGTCACAAGTTGCGCCTCCTCCAGCGACTTCCCTTCCTAGCCGTGGTACGAATATATTTGTCACTTGGCTTGGCTTCATTAGCTCATATTTCTGCTCATTGGAGTGAACATTTCACCTCACACAATTCGCTCCTTTATTGAGGAGGTGCAGCGTGCTCAGCGCAGTCTTTCCCTCGAGCTTCCAGTAAGTTCCACACTACATACGTTTCTTATTACTCAAAATCTGACGTTTTGATTCCTAAGCCCGAGCTGAGTGGCAACGCTCCCAGTTCCCCCGCCCTGAATCAGGTCAGTGTCCATTGTCGACAACAAACTAGTAGTACTTACCGACAAACTTTCCAGTCTCGCGTCCCTCAGCCAGTTCAACACTTGCTAAAGCTCCGATTTCCTGCCCTCTATCGTGAGGTTCAGGCCCTGAATAGCCTTTGTTTTCGAAGCTTGCCGTCGACGTACCATCTATATCATCGACATCTGATCCTTCTCTGGATTTGTCAGAGTCTGGATATCAACCCTTTGTATCCCGATGTTCCGGGACAGGAGACCTGTCAAGGTCGAGTCGTTTTTGTGTCACCAAAAGACATCATAAACTGGACGGGCCGAGCTTGGGGTACCTATTACAATGCTCGCACCACCCTCTGAACCCTACTTTTTTGCTACGAGTCTCTGGCTCGTGCAGTTGATGATAGCATGCCCCTGTCTTCTTTCCAACATCGTGCACTGGAGCTACTGCGACCGTACAATCAGTCTGTTCTGTACGTAGCACAGATTATGGACAATACCGCTAGCATCCCACATAATCAGCCGTTGAGCCTTTCGTGGTCGAGACAGGAGGCGGACAGATACCTACAGCAGTTGCCGGCTGTACATTGATTATTTGCTAGTTTTCCTGTACATTCGCTTATACTTTAGCACTCTTTTAATGCTTTGCTATTAATCATTACGTTACCTAACATAGTTGTCCAGATAAATGTCATGGTTTTCACAGAATGGATGGCCAGACTGAACCTGTAATGAAGGGTGCAGAATCAGGTGCTCTGTGGGTGTAGTGAAAGGTATCTGCCGCCTTCACTTTTCATCTTCTATGAAGAAAATACAATGCAATCAACTGACAAGTCTTCAATGGAGCGGCACTTCAGAACATCGACATGTAGTATATCACAAGAGTCGGTAATTTTTATAATCTGTCGTATGCCTAATTACAACAACGTACCGAAAACCATAAACAGCCCTTCGTCACACGAGGACTTGAGGATCTTGGACCGTGGTCGGTGTTGAGGCTGCCGAGTCGAGTGCTGGTCTTGAAAAACAATTGAACGTCTCAGTTTTCTACAGTCAATACGTCACAGAGATATTGCACTTACAATATCTTGTTTCTGTATTTATCACTAACCTTCAGCAGCTTCTCCTCGCATACACACCATGTCAAATGTCCTGCGTAGTACATTAGACAAAAGATCATCGCAAACAGACAAAATGTGCATATGCCTTGCTTGACGTCTCCCCGGTATTTCATACCATGTCCACCGCAGAAATTTCTTCACAGGAATTCGTTAGTATATCTCTCCATGGCTTTACATCTTTCGCATTCTTTGAGAGGTCAACGAAAGTGGAATGTGGCTTGTTTCTGCCCAGATCTCGCAAAGCAAGATCCAAATTGATGC